TGATTTTACACTGTTTTCAATGGGGCTTGAATTCGTGGACTGGACCCCTATCTTGTCCCAATAACTTGTCGTTCAACGGGTGCTTATAGGTTGGGTGGAGAGACAAACAGAGATGGGAGAAGATGGTACATGTAAAATGGGATGGCAAATGGGGAGAAAAGGAAAGAGCAATTGAAAAGGTTTTGGCAACTACCCTGAGTCTTGATCCTTACCAAGCCGTGCTAGGGCGGTGCAGGAGTGACGTCACAGGCAAGGCGCATAGGACATAAAGGTGAAGAATTGGTGCCGAACAAACGGTGTAGATTCAGGCGAGGAAAACAAAGAACTTAAGGTGCAGATTAACCGAGAAGACTTCTTGTATTGTGACGGTCTAGAGGAGACGGGAGCCTGTAGGTGGCCTGATCCAATGGAATATGAAGCTTGATAGCAGACAGTAACCTCTGGCAATCAAATCTGTGCGGTCGTTCGCGCTGGTGGGTTTCCCTTTTTGCCTTGGGATTTTGCTAAAATCGGGACATCAGGTCATCCAGGCTAATAATCGGTCTACCACAAGATGTGCAAATAGACTTCACACGTGTTCATCTTAGTGTATGTACATTTTTATTCCCACAACTCCAAAAAAGAATATCTAATCTATTCTTTGTACATATGTTATAAAACAAAATTTAATATTCCCCATCACCACCGAACAAAAGAACTATTTCGTTACTGCAAAGTACCAGCACTTTTCTCTTTTAAATGAAAATACAAATTACCCTGGCACGAAATGAGCGTGTACCAGCAACTCGACCATGTACACGATTTTGTGACTGTACATGTATATGACAAACGTCTGCACGGGCAGCGAGGAGCCATGGGTTATGTCCTTTCTCCCACAATTTTGATGGGCTCATACATCTCTATGATCAGCCCCAATTTTCATTATCCTCCCGGGTTTTAGTTTTAATTGAGTCGAAGAGCAGGTGGATTGACCGATTTGAACATCCCAGGTATTTATAAACTTCCTGTTGGACAACCAAATTATATTGTAATCTGGGGCTTAAATAACACGAAGATATTGTAATATCACATTTACATAATATGCAGAAAGCGCTTAACAGTTCGCATTATGGGTTATGTGCTTCTTCCGTCCCCCCAACCTTGACAAGAAATCCCTGCTTTTGTACTGACTAACCCGTCATTCGATCAAATCTCGTACGCTTGTCACGGTTTTCCAGGAAGTCAACTTTTAGGAGTGTGATTATGCCAACTGTAGTGAGTTATCTCTCTTTTTTTACATGACACTGTGTGCCAGTGCACATGAGCGTCGTTAGGATTTTCCAGGGGCAAAGCACTTTTTTTCGAGGGGAGGGATTTCCGCGGGGGGGGGCAAAGAAGTCTTCAGTGAGGAATTGATGAATTCTCCAAAGATGAAGGGGGTCATTTTGAGGTATTTTCTAACAAATTTGTGATTTTCTACCCCCGTTCACCTTCAAAAATTCTCTTATATTCCATTTTCTTTTTGGAAGGGGCGATGTGCGATGGTGCAATGTCACGATACGCCTCAAGGCCATTCAGTTGATAACTTTCCAACAGCAAATCCTGGTGAACGAGCTCACCCTAGATAATTCAAGGCCAATGTGCACAATTATATAGGGTGACATTAAAGGCTAACTCGGAACATACACTTTGTTATTTAGCTCTGTTTCTGTAGTTTGAGGCAGCTTCTGTAAATACTTTTGGTCAAGGAGATTTTTTGGCGGGGGCTACAACAGGAAGTCATGATCAGGGGCGGATCCAGGGGCGTGGGGACGCATGCCCCTCTTTCACCAAAAATAAATAAACAATGAAATAAAAAAACAGGGATTGGGAGGGAAGGACCCAGCCCCGTCATGTGACAAAGGCGTAAAAAGCAACAGTTCTGCTTCCAGTCACCCAACCTTCCTAATTTTACAGCCGCGACGCTAACGTTTTAGTTCACGCCCCCCCGGAAAATCCTGGATCCGCCCCTGATCACGATTCTTCATAAACGCAATACGGTTTACAACAGCCTCCACCGCCATTAACTGGATCACGGTTCAATGCACCTAAGTGATGACAAAAACAAACGTGAGTGCAATATAAAGCATATAATAATGTAAGCTCCAGCAGAAAAATGGAAGCAAAAACATCGGAGAAGTGGCATATCAGTAAGTTTGGTTGATTCAACAAAGATCTAATGACGATCCGGTATGATGTAAATGCGATTGAACACTTTTTAAAATCCAGTTTGGACTTGTTTTTAATGAAAATTATCAGTTATTTGTGCAGCGCTGTGTTGTAATTTGACCATTCGTTCCTTAGTAAGTTGGTTGTTTTTCATCGTGGTGGATAGGCCTTAATACAGCACACAAGGCGGTAAAACATTTTTGATCACCGGCGCTTGACGCTTCAAAGCCTGGGGCAATAACATCTGTCACTTCTGAAAAGTGAAAGCCAACTTCTTCTTTTCACTTCTGAGAAGTGAAAACCAATTCAAACTGCGGCAATTTCGGATCACTTTACCCAAGTTTGGGAGTATTTTTGTACATGAAGGCTTTTCATTAGCTTTATATGAACGGTTGACTCAACAGTAAGTCTCCCATTTTTATTCCAGAACAAGACAGTGGAGTGAAAGTTCATGTGCATGACCCCCCCGAGAGACAATTAGAAATTCAGGTAAGCGAATTGTGCGTGTAGTCATACGCACCGTGCACATTAGCATAATTTGACATGGGCCGACTCGGACATCGTACATGAACGTTCAAGGTTCGCTCTCTGCGTTTTTGATTCAGCGTGTACAGCACATAATGTGTCGTGGGCGGTGCCACTGTGTCACGAGACGTGTGCCGCTTTCATCTGCCCTGAATTCCACGTAGATGCACTATAGGTGTCGTTATCCATTATTTTGTCCGAAGGCGCCTTGTTTGTAAGGAGAATACGGGGCGCCGCGCCGTTGCACTGAGGGTGCCCTCAGTGTACATGTACCGTGTACGTCACCGATCAGCTGTGGCCGTACGTGACCGAGCTTTGGTTTTGTTGTCATTTCAACATGCCACACGAGCCGGGTAGAATTCAGGCCAATACAGTACAGTGATACTGCCTCCTTGGGTTTTAAATATACACGGCGGGTAAGATAAACATCAGGACAGGGCAGGCCTGTAAGGAATAACTAAACTGATTCGATTGTGTCCTTCTCAGAATATCTGCGGAGAGCAACCCTTATGAATATCATCTTTCTCTGAGTGATACATACAGAAGTGTGTGGTGGAGTGCCGACAGTGGAGTGCCGATAATAGACATACGCACGGCTGCTCCCCCGGCCCATGTCAAACGGCTGGCAGGTCATCTGCTGATGCAATGGCGGATCATCCCAAAGACACTGTGAATGGCACGGTGGGGAGCGTTCAAGATGTTATGGACTCGGAGCAATATGTTCACCGTCCTGAGAGCAAACATCCTCAGGAAGACCAAGAGAAGAATGGCGAAGATATTACCAAATCTGCCGTTGTCAACGAGGGTGAAAACAGAGCAGACCGTCCACCGCTCGCGATCGTTACGGACTCTGAACGGACGCTCGATGGTGGCAGCCTTGGCGGTAAGGTTCCTCTTCCATCTTCCCCAAAGTCTCTGGTGTCGATTGAACCTAGGGTCTACAAGCGGCGGTGGTTCATGCTGGCCGTTTTTTGCCTGGTGTCCCTGACCAACGCTGCCCAGTGGATCCAATACGCCATCATCGGCAATGTCGTCAGGGAATACTACTCCGTCAGCTACCTCGCCGTGGACTGGCTGTCCATGGTCTACATGCTGGCCTACATCCCGCTGATCTGGCCCGTGACTTGGCTGCTGGAACACAACGAAGGGGGGCTCAAAGTCATCGGTGTCATGGGGGCGAGCCTCAACTGTGCTGGGGCCTGGCTCCGATACGCCGGAGCCACCCCGGATACCTTCTTCCTTGCCTTCTTCGGACAGACTCTCTGCTCCGTGGGCCAGGTGTTCATCCTAGGGATGCCTGCCCACGTGGCTGCCACTTGGTTTGGTGCTAACCAGGTGTCCACGGCTTGTGCCATTGGAGTCTTTGGTAATCAGGTAGGAATGACCGGCCCCAATTTGTAACTGTAAACGATAATTTTGTTTTCTACCATCTATTTCACGATATGGTGTTTTATTATATGACGATATAACTTATCCCGAGAACTGCATGTTGGAATTCCAAACCAAAGCATAATTCAAGACGTAAGCATTGCTAGTCGACACCATATTGTAATAGGACATTAATATTTTGACATCAATATTAATCATAAGGAAAAGCAACCGACCTCAACGAGGTCACCAATGTCCAACTTCGCCAATGTTACTGACGTTGAAAACATTGCAACCCGAGGGGATGATTTCTTTCGTGAAACGGAAAGTTAATCAGTGATGTATTTACCATGATTTCCATCGCAGAGAGAATAATATTAGGAGGTTATTCTGTGTGAGAGCCCGTTCAAGAATACGCTGATCTGGGTTTAGCTTATGGAGAATTCGATGGTTTTATTGGTAATCGGGTGGAAGATGGAAAATCAAATAGCAGGCCTGTACTAGAATGACAAAGATGCCTTCTCCGGTTTTACTTTGCACGGAGGAGACTTGCTTGCCACAAAGCAATGCAATTAAGTAAGCAATGCAGTTAAGCATTAATTTCGTGTTTCGCATTATGTCCTCTCTTTTCTACCCTTCAATCCCTGCTCTTACAGTATTCAAACACATTTATGGTCCCGTTCCGGTTGCTCATATGTATAAGCTTAGATGCCAAAGTTTTCATACACCAGTATTCTGGTAAGATCGAAAGTAAATGGCCTCTGGAATTTTATATTCAATATAATATTCTGAAGTTACTGGGCAATGTTAGCTCTGCAACCTCAGGCCGTCATTGACGTGGATTAATTAAGGACTTTTCTTCGAAAGGTTTGCATGATGAGGAACGCAGAAATTAAAAAAGTAAGAACGTGTACCTAAACAAATGGACGTAAATCCAGATGTGACACATGTGTTGTGGTGAAACAGTGCACACGCAACGTTAATTGTTGTACTTTTGAACCGAGAACAAAATGTGCACGTGAAAATGTCGAGTCTGGTTAGGACGATTGTCCCCGACTTCGCCATGACCTTTATTTGTAAATTAAGCACTGTTTTGAATCCATAACTCTACCAGTTTCACACATAGGACTACATCTACATGGGACGAATTCACTCGGTCGTGACGTCTCAAAACCAAATTGGCCATGCATTTCTACCCAGATTGGTTTGTGGTCTGCACAATGTGTGTGCACCAGCAACACCGGTGTACACAGGTCATAACAAAGTCCACTATTGACCCACATAATCCTCTAGACTCACAAAAGTGGAGTTATCCACCCTGAAGAAGTTTCAGTCACGCGATTTACTTCGCCGAAACGTTCGCGATGTGCCCATAGAGGCTTTGCACGGTAGCTATTTTACAGCATAGTTCTTTTATTTATAATGGTATGTACAAGAGGTTTCCATGCAGTGGACCAAAGGCACTGCCCTGCAAGATGGCTACTACGCAAAGCCTGTATTTCGTTTTGCCTCCACTGTGCACAAATTCGGTTATTTGCATCCGGGGTGCTTCACGGGTCGATGAGGCTGGTCGACACGGCATTACCGCGCGCACTGCACTGTCACGTTGTAAGTTCTGTGCGGGCACCGGCGTATCGCCAGTCATCTAGTCTCAAGCCAAGTGTCTTGAGCCGTGACAAAAGTTTTCCTTTGCCATTGCTCATCCATGGTATGTGACCGGGACTGATGATTTGACTAATTGACTTGCAATATACATGTATGTGCTTGTGATGGAATCGGCCCGAACTGTGGTGTAACAGTCGTTTAGGGAAGGGGAATGGAATTTCTTCCAGCGACTGCCCATAAATTTCATCCACAAAAATAAAACGTACCCCCTCCCAGAACAGTGGCATTTCTAAACTATCGGCGCTTTTAATTTCTTAAAGACACTGGCAATGTGTCTCCACCTTTCCCAATTGGAAAAAACCGAAAGCACACTCCGCAACTATAGTTCTAGGACTCTCGGGTGAAACCTCCGGTTCACTTCATGGCATACGCTGTGTGCAGTAAACACCGGTTCGGGTTATTTCCTCTTCTGGTGGTCTGGAGTACCAAGGATGGCAGAGAGGTACCCCCGATGTAAGTGTCCAACTTTGCACAACCCCGCCCTCCAACAAAGTCGCCAGATGGTACGCGAATATTACTCGACGAATCCCTATTAACACACAATCGGTGTTCTTTGTTTAGACATAATCGAGCGTGAAATGTTTCAATTAAGTGTCATTGATATTTTTCGTGAGCCATGACATTTTGCCCGATAAGCTTATAATCTAGCTTGAATAATGATTCTCGTATACCCGCTGCTTTTTATGTTTCAGAGGTTCCATTTACATTCTTCGGATTTGCCGGTTACATGCATTATGTGCATGCTTCTAACTAAGCATTTTGTTGTAAAATCCTCTCTTATATAACGGCGGTGGGAAGTCGTATTTGTTTATAATTTGAAAACATGAAGCTACCATAAACGAAACCCTATATACGGGTAATGTCGCCTCTCAAAATTAAAAAAATGGGGGGGGGGTTCACAAAGAAACACGCCAAACAAATCAAAATCGGATGAGAGAGAAAACAGTCGTGTTGAGAATTAGAAAGGTCGCGATACTGTGATGCTGACCATCAGTGGCAGAAACAAATATCGGACATTCGGTACAGATCACAAAAGGAAGAGCAGGTGCCTCTTATCAGCCAAGCCAGGAAATCGCCCGAGGCAGACTTCGCCGTCATGATCGAAAATTTCCTGTAACCATAGATGCTGTAACCTACCCATATAAAATAGCCGTTAGTTTTGAAACCTCGTATGTCGAATTTTATCCCAAGTCCTAAATGGTGAGGTATCTTTAGGATAGATACATTATTCCAAACAATTTGACCCTCAAATTGAACTTGAATGACTTCATTGGCAGCCTTCATGACTTGTTCAAAATGAGAATTATATGCAAAATAAGTGCAGGTATAGATTAATGCAATAACAGTGACATAAATCGCAGGTTGCAAGGCCGTTCGCAGTCTTGGGGTTTGACTGATAAGCCATGTTTTCTATAATCCTCTGTAATCCTCCGTTTTCACTCATTAAAAACAAGTGCAAAGAGAAGTCTTGGATTTTAAATGCACTAGATTGCAGGATTTGAAGTACTTTTAAAAAATTTTCTTGAGGCAATATGCCCCCTGTAATTCCAAGTCTGGGACCCCATGCCATTGCATTTCTAACCTTCCCTCTGATAATCTTGGGTAGTGGGTTAAGCCCCTGGTTTCCATTTGGTTGCCAAAATCTAACATCCATTTGTGCGCTTTGGCAAGGGAAATCTTCGCAGCGTTCCTAATTTGGAATAATGTGCAAACTTGCCGACGCTGAGAAACGACGTCGTTTCCTGAGACGCAAAAATTGCTGACTACAACTACTTATAAGTGAGGCCTGTGCAGCTAAATGGCCATGCTCTAACTGTGGTGTTTATATATTATCGTATGATGCAATACACTGGACACACTTATAAGTGAGGCTTGTTCTTTTTGCCTCCAAATTTGTTTGACGCTGACTAGCCTCACTTATAAGTGTGCCACTGTATTGTATCGTACGATAATATATTACCATCACAGTTCTTGCAGGCTATTTTGCTGCACTGGCCTCGCTTATAAGTAGCGGTGGGTAGTCGAATCGGGTGCCCCAGCAATAGTGATGGAAGCTATGTTAACCTTGAGTTTTTGTCGGGTTTTGGATCCAAGTTTGAGCAACAGCTCTCAGTAAGGGAAGAGTGACTCAACAAAACTCGGATTTTTCCAGCATAGATCCGCTAATCAGTACGAACGTCAGAGGTCTAAAAACCTACAAGAAAACGTACAAGCGGGTCTTTTCTCAATGTAGGGCTACCCTGTATTTTAACGCATTTCTCGCGATCTCGTTTGACATTTTACTTTATGCGTTTTCAAACATTGCGCACGTACTTCCAACAAGATCGGCTACAATTTTTTTTTCATGGACGAACTACGTCAGAATTCAGACCTGAACATCATCCATCGGTTCTATAAATGCATAAATTGAAGTCAGCCGCTAGTGTTATTTCACACACACACGCAAGATCAGGCTTAAGAACCACGATTCCTGAAAATTTAAGATACGTGTGTACTTTATCGTAAATACGCCAGTTAGAAATTACAGGGACATAATTACCAAATACATCTTGAAGACATAATTACCAAACCGTTTATGCAAACGGCTTGAGACAGTTGGCGTAATCGTCGTTAGAGTAAACATCGAATCTCCTTTAACCACTTTTTCTCCGTGTCGTTTTTCAGCTTGGAGTCGCCTTGGGCTTCGTCTTGCCACCGATAATCGTCCCCAATGACAATAACAAACGACAGAATATGCTGAACATGTTCCTAGGCACGGCTTGCATCACCAGCGTATTACTCGTCCTTATCTTCGCCGGTAAGTGGGACTGGGAGATGCCTCAGAATTCCCGAGGGCTTCCGAATAAAAACTTCATCCAATCGTTTGAGTGTTAGCAGTCAAGCAGATTCCAGGAATATATCACTAAGCTTCAACAGCCAAATTTAACTTAATAAATGAAAAGTCGTTTTCCGGATATATTTTTCCTTATTCAATTCGTGCAGTCCAGTGCACTGCAATCTTTTCATTCAAATTGAGGAAAATAACTTTTTCATATCACAGAAACTCACTTGCAGCCTACACTGCAGAATCATCCAGTGAGTTACAACTGTGACAAAATGCGCGTGCAAAATGCGCGTGCAAAATGTTTAATAGCGCTGTTCGCGCATCGCGCACTACTGCTGAAGCTCATGGATGGTACTTGTGTAATAATGCTAATCCACCATACTAACAGAAATCATTAAGTTGATGAGTCTCATGTTAACTAACAGGTTTCTATTTCTGAGAAAGGATGGAGAAAATAACACCGATTTCGCTTACAAGCTTCGGCAACAGCACAGCAGTTGCGCTCACACTGACAGCGCGGCATGTATGCTATTGACTTAGAGGGCTTGCCGTGCTGAATGCAATTTACCGAGCCGCATTGGCGCTTAATGTCACTGTGCTGTTGCCGTAACGAACCAAAACACACCAGATTCATACAAGTACGCACAGCAGAGCACGCGTTCACCCTATGTCTATATAAGGATTCATTCACTTTCTTGATAAGACGAGTGATTCTCATATCACGTGTTTCGCAAAACCTTCTCAACTAAGCTATCGAAACCAGATCTTCTAGAAATGACTGCAACCAATCATCTTCTTCCTTGTACAGTTTATCAAGACAAGCCACCTGTTCCACCGAGCCGTGCCAAGTTGGGGGCCCAGATCTCCCGGACGCAGCGTTCCTATAGAGAATCCCTCAGGATTCTTTGTAAAAACACAGGTTTTGTGCTGCTTGTTATAACATACGGTAAGCATCTCCTGTTTTGTGGGAGTTAATAGAACAAAAGCGATTCAGTCAGCGGCTGCAGGTTATTCCCCCCATGTACGTTAGTCGGAAAGAAACAATGCAACCTCATTTGCAGGGGTTTCTTGATTTCCCGCTTTGCATTCAGTAGTAATCCCTCGACAGGAAACTTTCATCCTTTATCCTCATTCGACACAGCAGCAATGAGTTGCAACTGACAGTTAACACTGTGAATGGGGATGAGACTTTTTTTGGACAAGAACTCTGTCCATATTCACATTCAGTTCCCATACAAGGAGCGACAAGTGTTCCCATTCGTGTGAAAAGGCGTCAAAAATATTTTCCCACTTGTGTGCAAAGGCACGAAAGTCTTTTCACACGAGTGAAAAATGAAATGTCCCACCCTTGTGAAAAGGCATCATATTTATATGGAATGTGATATTACATACTGGGTAAAAAATAAGCTTTTTATCTGGGAAAAAAAGTTGTGCTTTCCCTTGCGTCACACTGTGAAGAATCAACTCTGTTTCCTATATTATACCAGACACCACAAATTAAATGAATGCTAATTAAAAGAAATTTCGGGCAGTAGATTATTCCTTACTAAAATATGTCTCCAAAGTTTGTGGAAATGATCCAGTATGAGTAACACATTTAAACACACTGTCAAACCAGTTGACTTTGCAAGTAGGCGAGGTTAAACAAAGCTCAAACTGATACATGTACTTCCAAGTGTAAAGGGAAAAAGTACACTATGCAAACATGAACCAAAATGAAAGGGCCCCTGTGTCACACCCCAGCCCCCAAGATCCATAAAATCCCCCAGTAAGTTAGTAGGAAGAAACATGTAGATCCGTTTCTGTAAATATGGGGTGTGTTGTAAAGTCCAATAAAATAAGCTTCCCATTTCCTGCCTCATTCAAGATTTTTCAGGAGGTGAAGAATGAATCATTTTTGATACCAACAATGACTTGTTTACGTCAAGATGTGTAAAACATTTCTCTTATTTCATATGCCTATCCACACAGGTATAAATGTCGGGTCATTCTATGCAATTTCCACTCTTCTCAACCAGCTCATATTGAGCGAATTTGAGGCAAGTTGATTCAGATTATTTGGACGACTTTGCATTACACTTGCCAAACTTCACAATGACATTGTATGCCAGGCTTAAGAATAAGGTCCCGGGTTCGAGTCCCATCTATAGTAAGCTTGTAATTTTTTTCCTCATATGCTGTGAGACACCATTAAGTACATGTATATGTACATGTACTACCTGCTATGCTGCTAAAGGGCAATATCCGGAGACTGAAGTTATATCTACATTCAGCTAGAAAAAGATGTGGTAAACTTCACATGGGAGTCACAAAAAGTACCCCACACAAGGGCTGATCCAGAGCCATTTTGGAGAGGGGGAAGTTTAGGGAGATCCTAACATTTGGGGATTTGTTATGCGACCTTTTGGCCTTGCTACAAGTCATGACTAACTTTGGGAGCATTTTTGCTTTAAACGAAGAGAAATAAAACAAAAATCTCCAAAATCACATTTTTGTTATTATTTTTTGTAAATTAAATTAATTCTTTTTGGGGGGAGAGGAAAGGAATGTCCCATGACCCCACAGACAAACAACCACCTCAACCTGTCTTATTCCTCCATGCTATGCTTTTCTCGTTGAATATCGATGCAGGGTTTAGAGGCTATGGCGGGTATTATAGGGATGACTATTGTACTGACTGGTCTGCTGGGATCAGCTGTTACAGGCGTGTGGCTGGATAGGACCAGAACATACAGGTAAAGGCCATTCGGTGATTAAGAATGTATGGAGATTGATCAGTTGCATTCCAGTTTTACTGCTTTGTGTGATCGTCCTCCTCGTTCATCCATGGGCATCTGATGATGGCCATGGTACAACAGGTTATCTATGACTTTATGACTTTATTCACTCTAACATCAAAATAGTTGTAAAGGTCCGGGTAAAGAAAATGTAATGCAGTTCTTGTAAACATTACTTGGTGTTTGATGTTCATATAATCTAATTTTCATTTTTTATGCAACTTTGAGGGTATTTTTGGTTCCTTTTGACATCACATTTCTGCATTACAATTTGCCCAATTTAGATATTTTGCTGTCTTAAATTAAAATGTTTCTTCTGTTATTTTTGTCTTTTTTCAATATTCCTCCAACCCGGACCCTGTCCACAGAACGAGACATTCTTTCTAACAAATAATCCCCATGCAAACCAAGGAAAAACAAGAAAACAATTCCAGAGGAAAACATTGCCACCAATGTTTAATAGGAAGGGTTAAGGATTCAGAAATGACTTGATGATCTGGTCTGGTTCAGTCACAGACTACCACACTCTTGGAGTGGAGAGAGACGTAAACAAGATTTACAGGTGTGATGGGGCATGGGTCAACATCAGACAAAGAAAGCAGCCTCATGACTAGGCAGGTTTACAACACTCCCATGATAAACCAAACAAAAGAGTCACGACAAAAAAGAGAGAATGCTGAATAAAACTCCAATTTCCATGCCTGGCATGGTTTGGGGGCTGGCACATCTGAAGAGAAGAAATGTCGTAAAAGGTTGCAGTGTTATCCAAAGTGTTTAAAAATGCACCAGCCCTTGATAGGATTCAAAATCCACTGACCAGCAGCCAATGAAAGGTCTCATCAACCTGACAGTGACATCTCACCAGGTTTCATTTCTTGACCCCCATAAAAAGCTTCAGTATTCAGCCCAAGTTTAATCAGCTGCCATTGACTGTTTGTTTTAATTGGCATCCAGGGTGCATAACCACAGTGCATATTATATCCACCAGCAAACTATTGCTCAGGTGCCAGTTACCATTAGTCCTTTTTGCCCAGGCCATAAACATTCCTAAAAACCATCTCAGCTCCCTGGGGAGTATACAGCTCAGCACAACCATTTGCAGGCACCACTATTAATGACTAATCAAACCATCTCTGCCCCCACCAGTACCCATTTTACCCTCTAGAGGCAAATAAGGGTGAAAAGACTTTCCCAAAATTACCTGTAATTTACATCTCCTGGCCCTTTGAGTAGGAATGACAAACCCTAATAACTACAAGGCCATAGACCGAACAAACAGGTCACTACCAAAAACCTGGTCACAAACAAAACTGATGTTTATCTACAATGAACTTCCAGCGGCAGCTGAAATCTACTGTAGTGACAGCACTGTTTCCCATCAAATCAATCCAAACCTGTTGGCCAGCAACAGGAAACTTTTACATTTAGTACAGAGACACGTACCTCGTTTCACAATGTACACCACTGGATGTGTGGTACGTGGAAGGTAAATTTCAAGGTTGTGTCAATAGGTGGAGCCAATGCTGTTGCTGATAGTGGTGAGCACTCCCGCTATGCATGGCATGACCCCTATTCTATGAAAAGCAATGCAGTCTTTATACTAAAAAGCAAAAACTTCCAAACTGAATATGCATGACATCGAATCACTGCTGTATAAAACTATAAATCTACTTATAGTAAGATGAAAAATGTACAATTGTGCTTTTTTTACTTGGATAAATAGTCAAACTTGATTTTTACGGTTCAATGATGAATTTGACAAAGCTTTTTTGTACTCCGGCAGGAAAATAGCTCCCAACTGTATTCAGTGGACATCATCCTCCTACACTACTAACATATAAAACTGCACAATGATTCAGATTTAAATTTTTGAAAATTCCTTTCCCAGTCAAAATATATTTGTTGGTTGATGCAATCATTCAATCCATTGTATTATGTGCTTTCTTTTTTTGTTCAGGGGAACTACGGTTGTTGTGTATATCTTGTCTCTTCTTGGTCTCATCGGTTTTACATTTACGTTAAAGTTGGGCAACATCTGGATCGTTTTTGCCATATCTGCATTCCTTGGGTAGGTTGTCTTCAAACATTAATTTTGACGTGGATTTCAGTTTCTTAGCAATTCCAAGAAACAAAAGTACTCCTAATATAGATGAAGATGTGTAGATATTGGCTGTTCTATTCACTTCAGTAGACGTGTTTTACATCTTCAAGAAAACAATAAATTCTGTCCCCAGAACGTATTGCCAAAATTGTTCATAAAAAGATTAAATCAGTTCTTAAATTCATCTTGCAGAAAGGAAAAAATTCAGCTTCTAAAATCGTACCCCTACTTCATTTCCATGACAATGGAGTTTGTATCTCAGGCAGGAATTATTATGCGAGGCATTTCATAAGTAAAAACATAAGTACCACTTCTCATATATTTTTACATTCACCTACGAATGTCACTTCGAATAAGTTTTAACAAATGCACACAAACAAACAACCCAACAACCCCACCCAACAACCCAACAAACACCAAAACAAAGCAAACAACCCAACAAAAAACAGACACAACCCCTACAGTTGTTCAGTGAGTTATTTTTTAGAAGATACTGCCGAGATATGGCAAACCCAGTCAACATTTCATATCACAAACTCTTTCTTGTATTCCTGGACAGATTTTTCATGACCGGTTATCTGCCACTGGGGTTTGAATTTGCGGCTGAACTGACCCACCCTGAACCGGAAGGGACATCCTCCGGCATGCTGAATGCATCTGCACAGGTACAGCAGACAAGTGTATGTCAAGTTGTATGCCAGTTCCTGGCTTATCATGGGATCAAGGATAACATTAAAAACGCTTGATAAATTTCAAGGACTGCATGTAGACAGTATGACCCTGATTGTTACCACTGTTTCATGTTGCATTCAGTGGGCTTCTTTCTGTGTATAAACAGTTTGAATGGTTGAGCTTTAAGATTAGGAAGTGTTCACAGCTTTCAGGACTGCAACTGAAATTTAACTCAAAGAATTGAGGGACAGGTTAACTCATGCATACAGGAAGGCAAAACTGATTTCTCCCTGTGTTTGCGGTTGTAAATTTACAGTCGCGACCCCCTCAACTTCATGCAGAAATTACAGGCTTTTCTGGCTGTTTGCACCACTGTAGTTGTCAGCCTCTCTGTATGCACACACACCCACAAGAGGATACTTCTACAGGTTGAGTGTTGTCCTGTACCCTGCAATGACTGCATTGTATGCTAATGGAATATGTTTATGATTAACAAAAATGGCACTTTATCTCACTGTCCCAATGAATACCTCCTGGGATGGTAGTAACTGACATACATATACTTACCTCAAACTACTTCTTTTATGGGAAATTTCCTTTTTCTACAGGTTGGGGACTCAGGTTAATTAACCCTAATGCCCCAGGGCATGTCAAAAATCATACTGAGAATGGAAGTACGGCAGACAGTTTATTATATCAGCCTGCAAAGAAAAGGCATTTTTATTTGTACATGTACCATATTCATGTCCAGCTCTAAATTTAAATGAGGAAATTACACAGGGACCTGTTAGTTTTGCAGGAATCTTGATCATGATCTCTGATTCCAATCAACGCTAGTTCCCTCTCTCTGTATGGTGGGTTCTGGTTTCTGTGAAACAACAACGGATTATTGATCAAGATGTGGATCTGTGTGAAACAAACAGGCCCACAGAATCAAATTTCTTTTTGGTGTTTGTTTTTGTTTTTGATTTCTTTTTAATTTTCCTATCTCTCAAAGTGTGTAAAATGCCTTAGACTACATGAAAACCCTTCAATATTTGGCCCCAGCTCCACCTTTTCAAAATTGGTTCTGGATCCGTCCTTTGAATCTGTCCAAATGATTGTTATCACTAGCAACTTGTGAAAACAGAAAATTACAAATACATGTCATTAGAAGTCACTGAAATACATCATTTATAAAGAAAAATTGTGACACAAAATGCCTAGTATTAAAAAAATAGCACCATGCCAGTTGGGCAAAGAACACAGTACACAACAAATTGTATGGCCTTATTGAGTTCCTGCCAGGTCCAGGGACAACCACATTATTTCCTATCTTTGTTATTACAGGAAGGGTCACGTTCAGGTCAACTGAAATAAAAGCAAGACTTAACACGTGCACATCCTATGCCATTGTGTTAATTGCTCCGAGTATCAGTGACCGTGGAAACCTCTACAACACAGACATGACTCATGTGTGGCTGCACTACACATAAATTCGTTTGATTTTTTTCCCCCCTACATTTTTGCTCATTTAAGGCTTTGTACATACCTGCTAAAGTTGAAGCATATTATTCCGGAGTGTGGCAAAGCGAGGGTTAAACTGTGCAGTTGGGCATATTTTTTAAATATAAATATTCAAAATATTTTCAAAAAGTTTGGCTGTTTTGTCTTTCATGTTTTTGGATGCAGTTATTTGGGATCATTTTCACGATGATAATGGGAACGCTGTTAACCAACTTAGGCACGGTGGCAGCAAACCTCTTCCTATGTGGAGCCGTGCTGGTTGGTTGCATCCTGACCAGTAAGTCTGCAAGGTGTTTTTTTGGAAAGTAAAAGCTCAGCGGAAGACTTTGAGATGCATGGTGGCGGCAGACAAACCGGTCCTTCTCCACGGTTGTGTGCGTGCTCAGAACTAACACGCATGGCTAAAACTGCACTTGCATGCCCACATCAACCAAAAAGGACCATTATATCTCGCTGTGTGCCCGGCAGAAGGGTGTAAGCGCTTTGGCCCTTTTGCCGGGAAGCATGATCACTGCAAAAAAACTTTTCCCGGCAAAAAGACGAAAGTATGCAACTATTGTATTTTACTGAAAAATGAAGATTTCATGGCAAAAAGAAAAAAGAAAAATGCCCAAGTCCTTTAATAAATTGTTCAAAGGTTGCTTTTTGTACAGCCCAGGTTTATTTTGTAGTAAATTATATCCGTTCTTACTAAATAAAGAGAGAGTGTTTCTTACACCCTTTTGCTGGGAACATGCTTCTGTTGTGATCATGCTTCCCGGCGAAAGGGTGTAAGTGTGCTTACGCCCTTATGCTGGGCATCCGACGATCTGCCACCACCAAGTGTCTCAAAGTCTCCCATTGCAGGGCTAAGAAACAGAGCTAGGTATCTGATTACCAGACAGGTGATATCAGGAATGAGTTCTAAATTATGGCACCGAGTAACTGCCATCCCTTTACGAATTACTTTGTAACTATTCAGACACTGATAGTTGAAGGTATTAGAAAGGTTTTGGTGTTGAAATTTAAAATAACATCGAAAGTAAAAACAGATGTCATCTAGGGTAGTTGAATACATGTTCACATTTGCTTTTATGGGAAGGGGGAGTGGCAGGTACCCGTGTTTATTTCAGTAGGGTACTTATGAAAGTTGCTATACCAGCAGTGAATGAATACCACTGCCTACTTCGTCGACTCTTAACACTTTTTTTTTTTCAAGATGTATTTTTTTTGCATTGGGGAGATGTTAATTTGCGAAAAGGTAAAAGGTAAACCCGAGTAGGCTTGTGACCTTTTCGCAAGCTCTTGGACGAGCACTGAGCATACAGTGTTTATTATTAATACATACACTGGGTAAGGGCAAAACCCGTTATATAAATCTGAACACTTTTATTATGCCAAATGTAGATAAGATTAACGTAAATGTAACATTTGGGGGAGTCAGGTTGGCAAGGTAGTTCTTTCCTCGCCTTCCACCTCTGTGGTTCCGGGTTCGATTCCCGGCCCAGTCCACAAGTGGATTGGGTTTCAGTCCCTACCTGACACTGTGGGTTTTACCCAGAATATTCCTCTGGGGTTCTCCTCCCCCCTCTAAAACTGTATTTGCTTCTTACTGTCTCCTCTTTACTGATGTTGGTGAATGTGGGTCGTTTGGCGGCTGCCCGAGGCGCCCTTGTATGCCATCAACTCAACCATGTTTAAATGTATTCATTGTTCCACGCTTAATGTCTTCATTGTACAGCGCATTTGAACATATCTATATGAAATGAACATATCTATATGAAATGAACATATCTATATGAAATGAACATATCTATATGAAATTTGCGCTTAATAAATGAAAAACTTATTAAAGTCAAGCCAGCACTATCACTCCCTTGGCTGGTGTCATCAACTGAGCATGCAAAACTGCTAGGCAGGAAAAGGAAGGATGGTGAATTTCTATTTGGGATGGTTATCAGACTAGCTTACTGAACAGATATTTTTAATAGAATGTTCTTCTTCTGGAAGGTATTTCCCCAAAGCTGTTTTGGGGTCAAAGGGGTTAGACACAAACACAATGAAAACTTCATGTCACATCGCAAGGCAGAAACCTCTGTTTTGTGTGCGAAGGGTTGCACTGAATGCCCCAATGTAATTTTTTCCGCATCAAAGTTGTGAAGTTGCACACTGGTACTATTTTTTTTCTGTGTTTCACATATTCTTTCCTTCCTATTAATTTAACCTGCAGTGTTCATCAAATCTGACCTCAGAAGACAACAGGCGGAAAGAGTAAGTTTTTCCCCCAGGAATTTTATTCTTGATACAAAAACGTATGTCCTTTTTGTGTTTGACTTTTATGATAAATTTAAAATAACAGTTGTTGAGCGTTTACTGATCACGTAAATAACCATCCATGACAAGAGTGAGCACAGATGTGCACATATTGAATGTCATTGCACTAAATGAAAGTGTTTGCATATCCACTGGCCATTGTATTTACACAGCAGTTATGCAGCTAGCGTGAAGGATGCATTGTAAAAGGTTGTCTGTGCAAGACCACAGACTCGAGGCACAAAAATTAAAATTTTATATCAAAGTTGAGGGAAAAAATGGATCGAATCACAGAACTCTTATAATCCTTATCAAACATAGATTAGGATTATTGATTGTGCCTTTATACTTTCAAATTTGCTATGCATGTCATTCTTTGATGTTTTCTCTGTATTACATGGTCTGCTGCTAAAGAAAATACTTCCGTCTGACACAAAGAATTTTTGATGGGTTTCTTTGGCCAATACCCAACAAAAAAGACATGTAAAATTGATTCATCTGAAATTTTGTCAGTGTTTGATGTAAAATAAAAAAACCACATTTTGAAAGATCTTTTAATATGTAATTTCTCACATCCAATGATCCACATTTCTTGATAGTTTGAAGTGGTGTATCCAGGGGGTTTCTCCATCCACCCCATCCTGTCTCACTCTGTGCCCCCCCCTCCCCGACATGTTGCCAACTTTTTCACGGTATTGAAAATACCAGCACTTCAGTAACAGCAGGCCCACAAACATCTTCCATTGGGGGAAATTCATTTATGGATGAAAAAAGTGAAATTTTGTTTCAGAAAAAACTGTCCCCCTCTTAAAACCTGGATAATGCCACTGACGTTTTGAAAGAAGTCTTGATCGCTAAGTTCATTTTTATAGGTTCACAGTGATTTATCAGGCAACAGCAGCACTGCTCAAACTGCAAGTATGTAGATGAGTCTCATTTCACACATATACATGTACATGAAATATCCTATTGAACTCGGCATTAACTTGGCTTTGACAAAGAGAGGCGGGGGATGTTGGAATGTTTGCATCACCTTTCTGCAAGTCCTATCAGCGATGGTTGGAATGAGAAACACAATATTGTACAGATATTGTCAACTGTAGAGTTCACTGTATCTATAAACTTGAACATGAATTTGGCCTATTTGCATGTATAGAGCTTAGTTCTACCAGCAAAAATTTACATTGGAAATGAGAAAATTTATTGAATGATCAAATAAAAACACAAAACTCTTTCTCATTGTTTGATCAATATGTACGAGATAAAAATTCAGCAAGTGAAGAGAGAGATATAATAGGTATATCTCTAAAAACAAAACTTGAAATATGCATGTTTAATTAAAGGGGTCACTTGCGAGAGGTGTGGCTGCTGAATTCTAGCAAAGAATTCCAGTCATTCTGGTCTTGTTTATTCTACAAATTTATGCATGTCTTCAGGCTGATTTTTATTTTCCATCTGCCAGCTGAGACGAGTCAATTTTTCTCAGTCGGCCCCACAGGCAAGGTGAATGCATACTTGCCTGAGCCTCCTAAGCTCAGCGCCAACATTTAATAAATCTTTACTGGGCATGATGAGAAAGTTCTGAAATTATCATGGGGGGGTGTTCCTTGGTGGCTGCAGTTGGTGTGAGCTTTAGTGGTCTGGGTCAGAGTCTGCCGTTACCATCATCAGTGAAAAACCAAACATATGGCTGGCATTTAACACCAATTGAAGAAAATCATGTTTACCCAGGCTCCATGCTATATGCTTGACATAAATATACCTATTCCATTTCACCAATAGTGATCGCCATTGTGAAATTTGCCGCATTTACCATTTCTCTCATATTCGTACGCTTTCCAAAATAAATACAAAATGCAATATCTGACATATGATGGCTTGCTACAATAGTTTATAAAAAACTGATGACAGAAGGCAGCAAAACTGGGTTCTACGTGATGAAAAGTGTTCTTAAGGACTGTTTACAGTTAATATTGGCCCTAGAGAATTCTGATGGACAATCCTATGAGAACAATCCTGTGGAATTCCATATTTGCCGTCACCCGTCGTACGTCGCCTGTCATGGGTCGCCTGTCGTGCATCGTCCATCACGCGTCGTCTTTCTGAGAATTCAACCAAGGGTTTTTTACCAAAATAGAATTTTCCACAAAAATGTTTAGGCAAACTTATCCGCAGTTCTATTCGCTCTTGCCTACTGTGAAAATGTGCTGACTTGTTTTCATGAAATTCTAGAAAGAAATCAGCCAGCCGAAACAGACATTCCATTTTCTCCTCTCAATTTCACCTTGAAATCCACAAATACTAGACAGTAAATTGTTTTTGTCAATTGTGCTGTGGATAAGTAACTGTTTTTGAATGTTATAGGGGGCAATTATCACTTGGTTTAAGTTTAAGAAAATATAACATGTTGGATTTTGTGGGTGTGTATGCCACGGTGGATAGGCCAATGAGCACAGGTAATCCCGCATGTCAGCACTATTTATGGGGCTAACAAAGTAACATTACTGTTTAAAAGATTTCTGTGTGCCTACATGCAACTTAAGTCATGTCTAATTTGGCAGATTTCATCGTAGGTATACGTATACCCGCCTCAAAATAATGTTGAATCAGTTTGCCTCTTATAAAAGATATTAAGGAGTCGAACATTGTAAGTAATTTATTATATACATTTAGTTCAAAGTTACTCTTGTATTTCCGGGAGTACGATCTGTTGGGATATCGTGGAAGGACAGACAGGCATGGGGGATCAATCGAACAAGTATGTAAAAAGATCAAGGATCAAAGTGAAAAATAGCACGGCACAAGCGTGACAAAAAAAAGCGACAGGCGACGGACGACACACGGTACGTGACAGACGACGAGTGACGAACGACGGCAGATATGGAATGCCATACAATCACTCAGATTCTCTTCAAAATTTTGGTTTAAAAGGTAACTTGTACCACATACCTATTTGTTTCCTCCATTTAAAGTTCATTCTAAAAGCAAACCTTAGTTATAATGTAAAGAGATGATGAGGCTGGTAGCCATTTCTGATGGTAACTAGACCACTCCTATTTGGATCAGAGTTCCTGAAGCTCCCTAACAAGAAATGCTGCTCGCCAAATGTTCTTAATTGGCAACCTGTTGATGATTGCAGCAATGCATACAATACTGTTGTGCCAAGCAGTGTCAAGGAATTTGTCCATGAAGTTTGAACACCACTGGGTTCCAAATTTATACAGCTGCTAAGCATGAAGTACTGCTAAGAAAAATTGCTATAAGCATCATGGGGGGACCATTTACAATAAGTATATGGTGTGTGACATTTTGACTTGTAACCTGTTTTTGCTAAGCAAATATTTTCCCTGCTAAGCAGATTTTTGAACTTATTAGCTCCTACCATTGGGCCCCATGGGACCTCCCATTATTCAGCTGCTAACTCCAAGATTTAGCTTAGCAAAGTTACACAATGCTAACTGGCTAAGCAGATTTTTGTGGTGCTTTGTAAATCTGCATGCCAAGCAGTTCCACAAATTTCTCCCAAAGTCAACATGTTCACGTCGCAATAAATGGCATTTCCATTGCAACTGTTCCCTTTCAAAGCACAAGTGCAAAAAGACAGAAAAAGTCATGGCTCTGCACCATCAGTCATAGAAGTATTCACATGCTAAATGAATCCCACAGATTTCTGTGCACACATTTTTTCAAATTGAAGAAAACTTCTTGACTGGATTTCCCTGTTTTGCTATGTAACTCCTTCTTCCCTCAAAACAGTTGGTGGGTGGCAGCTACGATTATGTTTTTGCATAGTGCCAGAAGGCTACAGATGAATAATTCTAAAAGCAACGAGTTACAAGTTTTATGACCTTAACTAATGACTTGCAAATGAAACCAGCACTTATTGAATAGTGTTATAGCCCTAACCGCCAAGCACATTGTTTGGCTTACACTACACAGTGCTACAGTGCTACAAAATACTAAGTAATAGCCTGAGCCTGAAGGACCTCGCGCTATAGATTACTACTTCTGGCTAGGTTACTTCCATTGTTACTTGTACAGAGAACAATAAAGCCATGCATTCATAGTGCCACAGCACTGCATGGTACATTGTCTTATCTATTGTATTTTATGGCTTCAGAGTACAATAAGGTCACGTCCTCTTACAAGTGACAGCGCTGAGAACAACATTTTACTACAACTAGTAATTCGTAGTACTGTCGGGTTAGGGATAGAGTAGGGAAATTCAATTCATTAAATCTAAAAAAAAAACCTTTACATGTAAGGAATTGTAACTCTGGTTTGTTGTCATTGTCAATACATGGTAACCCTTCTGTTACTTCAGCATCACCTGTACTTCATTATAATTCAGCAAACATGTACATCATTTGGTACTGTACAGGCATCGATACATATGTGTACTTCATTAATCATGACATACGTGCACTTATGAAAAAAATGTCCTGCGTTTTCACCAAAATGTGCTTGTTCGGTACTATGGAGTGTGAATCAGACAGGTAGCAATGACCACCGTTAACCATAATTTATATTCATCATTTTGCCACACTGGGGTGATATTATTTGGAAAAAAATGCAGACAGTAACAGTCTTTTTGTCAGGGGGGGAGGGGCATGTCGAGAAAACAATTACACTGTCACCAAAATTTGGGACAGGTTTTGAGACTTTGGGAATGCCTCCAGACATGGTGCTTGCTCCATGATCTCAACCGGGTTATCAAGAAAACTTGGTGTTAAGACTGCATGCATGCCTATCCAAAAAGGTACAAAAAGGATAATTCTTGTCCTCAAATTTACCAAAGTGGTGAAAGTTCCCTAAGTCTCTTGTGTTACAGGAACAATGGGAAATGCAACGCCTTGCATTTGAAATGATACTGGTGAACACAATTTTCCCATTTCAGAATGTTGCAAATATGCCCATTCATGAAGGCTGACCAACTAATCAAGAAAACGTCTACTGATCAAATAGCTACCTGCCTTTCTCTGGGTTACACATTGTTTTTGTCTGTTTCAAGTTCCAAAAATGTAGGCTTTTAATTTTTTTTTTCCTCAGATGCATGACTTTCAAGCCCTGCCCACTGAAGTGGACGAAAAGGACAGAGCTGGTGCCATTCAGCTTGATGAGAAAAGTACCACTTGAAAAGGAGGTTTACCTCGTAACCCAAACTCTTCCATATCCAACCATACATCAGAAGAGAAGACAGATTTGTTTTATAACCAGATCTCGGTCTGAGCATGTAAACTGGTCCTTTTTTTTTCTCCCACTTGAGAGTATGAAGTATCTCCCTGATTTTGCATCGATCCTCTTTGAAACTTAGGTCCTGTTTATTTCACATGGATCTACATCTCATTCAGTGGTTTCAAGGCTGGCTCATTTTATCCATTACACAGTTCTGGTGTCAGTGAACTAACCACAAATGGACCCTTAGCAAGTGAAGTCTACCAGACAGGGGCAAGTTAATTAGAGTTTGTGAACTGAGCTAGTTAAAACCAAATCAAGCTGAGCCAGCTTAATAAAGAAAGAAAAAGAGAAAACCTCCCACGGTACAAACTTATCATATGCAAAGAAAAAGGTAAGTAACGTGCATGAATGGATTGAAGCAAAGTTATGACACAATCGGGAACAAAGTCCACTGATTTTTACCTTTACCCGCTGTTATTGAACTGGTTGATCAATTGATTTTCATTATGCTGAATTGATGGGTAAACATTTCTCTTTGGCTGTGCAATTTCTACATCTGATATTTCTGTTTGTACAAGATCAGTACACAGACGAGGCGTGTGCAAACCCACCTCCAATCTAATAGGGTTGTCTGGGGGTTAGACTTGAATCAGGTATTGTCATCTGATTGCTTTGGTCCTTAATATTCAAGCAACTAAAGCAAAGTTAATTGTGCAGGCCTTCAAAAAAGATATAGTAAAAACAAATAAAAATAAAACAATAAAAAACAGCTATTAATTTTCTGATATTCACTCAGAATGAATCAACTTAAGGTCTTCCTATAAGCACCTTGACTTTAAAAGGCACCTCTAAGGAAAACATGTTTTCTCTAATTTTATCTGTTCACATAAATATGGAAGCATCCAAATCGAACGCAGAGTCATTCGTCTTCAAAGCTGAACTATAACAAGCTAAAAAGGGTTTTTTTGGTTCATGCCAAGATGCGAATTCTGAATGTAGATTGCATCATTCATTGAAAACAGAGAAAATGAGGGGATCCCTCGCCCTGTGTTTGTAGTGGATAAACCCTTGTGCATGCCAAACAATGCATGTAGCTCTTTAAAGACCGACCTAAAATGAAGAATATTAATTTTGCTTTTAAAATATTCCCTTGAATATGTCCCAACATTCACAGCCGTGGACGTTGGCACATACTATTCAGTTTCAGTTATTATTTGCTGTATTATGATTGATGTATTGCATGGATAATTAAGATTTAGACAAGGAACTTCTGACTGTTGATTGTTTACAGGATTAATGAACTAGTGATGTAGATAATTACAAAGGGAAAATATGCTTTCACAGCTCTTACATTTCCAGTAAACTTTAAAACCTGTCCATTACATTACTCTTCTTGGATGTGACTGATACCAACACATACTCGCGTCAAATATAGATTTTATAGAAAAAATGTAGCAACTCAACTGACACATTGGGTCGTATGAATAAAAACTAGCAAATACTATGAAGTTCAAGCAAACAGCAAAAGCATTTACTGAGAAGTAAAAGCATTAAGAATAAGCAATTGCTTGAATTTGTATGAATAAAATGTTTCTTTTACTGTTCAGCATCTGCTTATACAAATAGTAGCAAATGCTTTATGCTTGTGGCTGACGTCACAGCCAAACGGTTTTGCACAATAGGGATTCCACTGTCTGCACCTGCAGACACACACAGTGCAGCACAGTGCTGTATCTTGGGACCTCAGCATGGCAGATAAGCAGGGTGGCAGTAATTTTGATCGCAAAAACCTTCATGAAGAAAATTTCTCTGCTACTCTCAAATCGGTACAACTGCCTGCATCTGGCTTCTTGAGATTCCCTCCTAAAGGCATACAGCCTTTCCTTTCATATGATATTCATGAACGCTGCCATCCTGAACATAAGTAAATGCTCCTCGTTCTCAAGCTTGCCCTGACCCAGTCTTGGAAAAATGTCAAGTAAATACTCCAATTCTGTAGAACTGACTCGTTTTTACTCATACAAAATGAAGCAACTGCTTATTGTCAAGCACAATCTTAAAGAGTAAGAACTAAATACTTTTACTTTTTAACAATTGCACCAAAGTAAAAGCATTTGCTTCGTTATTATTCATACAAACACGAGGAAATGCTTCAAATATGGTAGTAAAAGCACATGCTACTTTTTATTCATATGACCCATTTGCTTTAGATTTGCCTGTCAAGTATTGCCAGAAGGTATTGAGGAATTCCTCGGGCATGCATGCCCATAAGGAAAAGTCTCATAAATCAGGTGATGACATTTGAATATTGCATCCAGTGGTAATTAACGAGAAAAAAATACACAGAAAATGCTTATAGCCAGACTTGCAAACTTTGATTCCTGCGAGGGTGTTTGTAAAGAGTTCATGACAGGTAATGTTTTGAAACGGGTATGTTTGATTCAGATAATTCAGGTGTAGACACGGGTGATTCGGGACTCATGCAAGAGAAAACTAAACTTTGCTACGTGTACGTTGATTTTGAATCATGGGGTGTTTTTCCCCATACATCAATGTGCAGCCATAACACTGTGCACTTTTTTGTGTTGTCCGCGAGCTCGTGCAAAAATTCACAAGCTTACTTGGATGGGACCCAACCTCTCCTTCTTACTAGTCCAAGTATCTTCACCACTCGACCACCAAGCTCACCAGGATTGGCTGGCCAGTCCGGCAGGAGGTCATGGGTTCAAGTCCCAGACCAGTAAGCCTGTGAATTTTTTTTTCAGCAAGTTCTTGGACAACACTGCATACACCGTGTTATGGATATCCGTCAGTGTAAGGGCAAAAGCCGTCATTGAAAATAAACATTGCCCCAACGCAAAGTACATCTTTGAAAAAAAATGTACATGTATGGACAAAAGTAATTTTCTTTTGACCCTGAAATGCTGCGACCTTCAGAGTCTAAATTTCTGCTGTGGTCAGCAGAGATTTTATACTTACAATAAGCTGAACGGACAGGTTGGGAACTGATTTGTTTTTGGAAGGGGGCCTTGTAGCACGCTATTATACTTTAGGATCATTTTCTGGGAAACTTCATGAAGCTGAGCTCAGACTTTGTAGTATTTGTTCAAGTCTGCACACACACATCACAGCTTGCTACAATGCCAGTGACAGATCAGCTGTCTAATGTGGTCATACTTCTGGTACAAGACTAATTGAACTGACCTCTTTAGCCTTCTTATTACATTAACATTAATTAAAATGTATGAAGTGGTGAAGTGTGACAATACACATCTGTATTCAGCCGTAATTCAAGAATGAACAGCAATTAGAGTGCATGGTATCACCTTCTGTTTATTCTGAAATTCATGCATTTTTGTTAAAAACTAATATACCAAGATATATATGTTTGTGTATATCTGATGAGTAAGTGTAGGAACCAGTGTAAAATGAACGAAAAACTAGCAATGGAGAGGTTTCATATTTTTACATTTTACTGAAAATTTGTTGAACTCATCAATGGATGCCACTTGTAAAAAAAATAACTTGCACAAAAAAGGTATAAACATTAAGACTCTTGAAACAAATGTAATCTAGAAGAAAAACTCCTCTTAAATATATATTTACATTAACTTGCCTGGGGCATGATGACTCAAACTTATATTTTTCATTTTTACAGGGGGAATATTTGTTGCCAATTTCTCTTGCTTCTTTTTTACTTTGAAAATCTGGAATGAATTTGGATAGACTTCTCTAAAATTTGTTCTTACGCTCGATGGAAATTTTTTGTGCATTTTTAAAAAAATCAAACATTTATTTTAAAAAATCCTACCGGCATGTTTGTATAAAAGTATGCAAATTATCTACTGAAGATAGCCTTATAATATTTATTAATATATATAATCTTGTGAGAAATGTATGCTTGAACTCACTGTTTACAAGTCTCATACATACGTGTACATGTATAGGGGTACACTACAGTGGTTACCTTATAGCAGTAGATAACATAGGTATCTTATTAATAAAAGATCAGATGTTGAGGTAATTAACAAAGTTCTTCCATCTTAATCTGGGGGGTCGGTATCTAAGTTGAAGCAGTTTGAGAAGCCATGGGGAAATTCTCCAACATAAAACCTTGTGTGTTGCACTATGTATGTATTCAGTGGTGTGGTGGACTTCATTCACAAACGTAAGAGGGCGCTGTTCAAAGTAGGAAAGCAAGCAAACAACTTCTGCACGTCAGTCCACTGGTGCTTATCAATAGACATTATTACTACACCTCATAAATATTCATTTAGCCATGGCATTTCATTGGCCTATTCCAGGAACTCAACCTTGATCTCAAGGCAAAGCCAAAGATCATCCAACACCTTGGGTATTATGTTGTTGGTGTACTATAGTGGAGACTTTCAATATGGAATGAGACGGTTGACCTGAAGGCCAGTTTTCACTGCTTTCATTAAATCCTGAATATCAGAGCAGAAATCTGGGTCTCTAATGCTGACCTTTATGAAACAAACATTGACTGGAGCTGTGATCAGAACCAATTAAGGTCATGGCTGTCAAACTGATGGACTGTCCAAATACTCAAACTGGACCAACAGCCCCAAAATGTGATCTTTTTTTCATGAGCCCCAATACCACAGTCTTAAGACCTGCATCTCGCTGGTTCATGTGCACCACTCGCACATGATGAGTATTAGATGTATTAGAGGCTGCATCCAAATCTCTTGTCTAGAGCTAGGTCTAGGTCTTCGCTTCATTGGAAATGCGTGGAGACGCGTAGACAATAGACCTAGCCGTAGCTCTGGAAGCCCGTTTCGGACATGGCCTGAGTATACAGGGACATGTCCTAGACTGGTGGCAATGTCATGTACTTGTTACTTTGGAGTGTACTTGTCTATGCACAGTAGGTGCCTGATATCCTTTCATGTGGGACGCTTGTGTATTTTTCTGAGAGCACGTTGCAACAGTTGTAGACTTTGGACAGGAGGGCAAACACTTCAGACCACTTTAGTGCTTGTTACAATTTTCAGAGTATTCTAAATTCGTCCGCCAACTGACATCACCTTCTCTTTGATTTCTTCCCCTTCTTGATTTTGTCAAATTATCTTTTGGGTTGAGAATTCCGGCTGCTGCCGCTCATCATGTGTCACCTTGACCAAGCTTCCACTTGGAACTTACAGTTCCCAGTTGTCAAGAGTGTTTACATTTCATTTTAAAGTGATCTTGCTGCTTGAATAAAAACTAATTTACAAAACAAAAATTTGCTTTGATGTCAACTTAGTGGTCTTTCCTTCCCTGACTTCAAAGACAGTTAGAAAATATATATTTCGTTGTCTACTTCAGAAAACATTTCATTTGTTCATGATGCCTGTCAAAATGTACTATAATCCAAAAGTTCCAAACATTTTAAATTTTTGCCCTAAAAATATTAAAAATATGCCAAATATAAGAATGGTATAAAATTTATCAACACTGTACAATTTCAGTTAGATGTTTTTCAGTTTGGTCCATTAGTTATCACTAGTCTTAGATCTGTGAGCAACTACCTTCTCAAAAACTTCACCTCAATTTACTTTCAATGCCATTATAAATTGGGTCATTTCAAAGGAAAGGACTTGATTTTTATGCTTAGATTAATAAGAGACATACAAATATTTGGAAGAAGTCTTAACAGTGAAGGATGTTTTGTCTTTTTTTTTCTACCGATCATCAAAAACACTGCAAACATTTTGTTCTCAAACCCACAAAGAGTTATGTTTGGAAAACATGGTTAAAGCACTTTGATAACACTTTTCTAGAAAAAAAGCTGGCTGCCAAGTTTGAGATTTTTTGAAGGGCACGGCAAAGTGACAATGTTCAAGAACAGTCCTAAGTGTGAGCCATGTCAAATGTCAATCCTGTTTCAAAAATACTTTTCCTCAAGACATTAAAGCTTTGTTTCTTGAAACTCCATTAATTTAATTCATCAACATAATTCTAGGTGTTCAAATTTTTAATCCGCGAATGAAAAGAGTTAATTTGGTGTTCAATCTCTTCAAAAAGACAGATATGGAAGAATTTAACCTTTCATAGGCTTTTAAAGAATCCCATCAATTCTTTCACAAGTGACTCCGTCGCCATGATCCACCAATGCAGATATGATACATTTAATTTACTAACTGTCACTACATGTGTGTCCTAGTAAACTTCAGTTGTGTCAGATTTCACAAGTTCTGGCAATCTGTATCCAACCTACTAACAACTTCATATAAAACTGCACAGCAATGGCTTACAATCTTCTCCAACTGGGGCAGGTGTGGGTGAGAAGTATTCAGGGCAAGAATATAAAGTCATTTTCTTTCTAGGGTTTTTGTAAACCTCGAAACCATATTTAGCCAACCATGTCAAACACGGGCTGGAAGACAAACAAACAACTGCCTGAATTGCCAGCCTCCACATACATGCTGCACACACTTTTATGTTCCATCCTTCAGTACGTTCAGCAATAAAAAAAATTACAGGGCACTTACAGATAAGCTCCATGGTGACGACCCGCACAGGCAAACAACAAGTTCTGCAAGAAAAAAATAAACCTCTCATCAAAATAAAGCAATCAACTGGGGGTTTTTGTTGTCCAAAAACTGCCTAACCGGTGGGCCCTCCTTCCCACACAAAACCCTGGCCCCATTTTCAAGCGGGTGGGTTTATGGTATTGGCAGCCATCTCTGTCATTTCAAAGGGCTATGGTCTGTCCATCATGTAAAGGGTGGGTGGATGGCATCGTTTGTCACAGAGGGCCTTTTTAAAGAATTTGGTCGAGCGGGGGAAACCAGCACGTGTTGGCTTTAGAGGTGGCAATAAAGTCAGTCACTTGGTTCAAGTGGCAACTGGGCTTCGGCACAATGCAGGTGGTTTTCTTCTGCAATCAAAACTTGTTTTGGCAAAGTTGCCATAGAAATGGAGTGAGGCACGGAGTGGAGCTGATGATGCGTAGCATTCCTTTCATGGAAATGAAGTGAGGCAGAAAGACAAAACACAAAAGGTACTCTAACAACATAATTCCGAACTGTTTGCATTTCCAATTTCATGTCATAAAGTGGGTTGGCACAATCTACTGTGATTAAAGGAAGATAATGTTTATTGGCAGGTACTTCACTCAAGCGAGAATTCTCAAAATGGTCAACAGAGGGCACTCTTCTCCATCATAGACCACACTTTAATACTGATATATCACTACTGACATTTGTTATGTCAAGTGTTGCAGCATTTCTTTACTTAATTTAATCATTTGTTTCACTATAAGAGGATCACAAGAGAAGTCGTCCTGGCCACCCTTAGTTGGACTGTGCTTCCTCCTATCCCATAACCACCCTTACGCCCCCAACCCCACCCACTCCCCTTCCTCCTATCCCATAACCACCCTTACGCCCCCAACCCCACCCACTCCCCTTCCTCCTATCCCATAACCACCCTTACGCCCCCAACCCCACCCACTCCCCCTACACCTCTTTTCTACCAGACTCCCTGCTCTGTACCCCCACTCTTATCTTATCTTTCTAGTTGATTGTTATTACATTGTAATGTTCTCTGTATCGTTTGCTATATGTGAAATGGCCAAATAAATACGAATAATTATAAATAATAACAAATAAAGGTGTCATCAGAATTTCTCGGGGGAGGGGGGACCCGCTTTTTCAGGAGAAAGGGGCGAAACACTCATCAACGACAAACTGATAAACCATTAATGGTGGACGGAAGGCGATTCTGAGGTACTTCAGCAAAAGGGTCATTTTTATCCATTTTCTCCCCTTTCATGTCTCTGGCCATTTTTTCTTTCTTGTTTTTACTTTTCATGTTGTTTTGCCACAAAGCCCATGGTCAAGAGTGAGCGCAGGGTCTGTTTTGGAGATATCTTTTGTCGTAATAACTGAATTTTTGGAACCGTCATGCCAAAATGTATTGGAACTGAACTTACCAGGCTTTCTTTGCTAATCGGGATCCGGCAGCCACCGTGCCTCATCCATGTTCAGGGTCCACTTTTCCGCCCGATAGGTTCCTGTGAAGGACTCCACGGGGCCCACCGTCTCATTGATGACCCGCAGCATTCCTGGTGTGTCTCCGCTCCCACCGCTGTCATTCCCGTAGCCGCAAGGATCCGTAGAGGTCAGTATGGGCACGTCCGTTTGGACTTCTCCATCTGGACCAGTGATTGTCACAGCAGAGGGGAAATGGGCAATCTGGAGATAGAGCAAGAGAACAATTATCATTACATTTTTCCTCCATTTTCAATAAAAACGTACCTTTAAGGGAACTTTTCTTATTAACATTGACCTAATCTTTTATTCCTAAAAGAGGAAAGTAACCTTTCCCTTTAGAATATGACTCACTGCAAACAGTCTCCATATAACTTCACTATAAGTGAATATTCCACTTTGCCCTTGAAAGATGCCAAAGGTATTAGTCTCCAGGAAATTGCATGGCTACATAAACTGTGCAGTGGATTTATGAACACACCCTCTGTAGTGTCTTGATAGACACACAACATGCAGTGCTTATCATGCGAATGAGACACGTTCATTTGCTTGACCTCTAGAGGCCTAACATAGGATAGCAGCATGCATGGACATGGTTGAGAACCAGAATAAATGTTCTGTATAGATTCTTCTGACTCCTGTGTTCAATTTGTCTTTATCCAGTTACTGAAATAAATTCATTTCCATAAACACCACACCTTTCCTGTCTATCTTTCAACTACTTGTGATGCCATCTAACAAAGAGGAAGAAAACGTTTATTTGACTTTTTCAGTGCCGCGAATGATTTACACATTCCCTTTGTGTATTCCTTATTCTTTGGCGATTATCCTTCCAGCTCGGCCAACGGTTTCTTTGGGGGAAAGGAGTGATTCTTTTTTTTTTTTCTCGTCATGCTTACCATGATAATTTGATCTATCACCAGCTCTCCCACAAGGAGCACATGCCAGTTCACTGGTTCATAGGAAGCCAACACCAGCACAAACCCCCTGGCAGAATCTTGTGGTGGGCTACCCTCTAGCTCTACCTCCATATCGCCTGCTGTCGGGGGTCTGGTGTGGCGGTTACCCTCGTGCACGGCGAGAACAAAGACTCGGTATTTGGGGTTGTCTCTGGCCCGACAGCTGTAGGTTTGCTGGGTCTCGTCCTGGTAAGAGGGCGTGGCAGGGGCTGATGGGTCATCGTGCTTGATCACGCAGGACCCATACCGAGCTTAGCATGAAACGCGAAGAAATCAAGCCTGTGTTAATGCACTACAATCATGCTTTCAGTACCCAAAACTTGTTACCATAATTGCACTATTCAAGATCTGGTAACTCAGTTCCTGGTAAGGAAGCCAGAGTTTTTGAACTAAGGACAAATTAAATATGAGTTCCTGGTTGATTCTAGAAGAGGGATACCAAGGCTTCCACTGTTCAACTTTTTTAACTGCAATATCTGATGTAAATTTTTTGGTCCATAGTCACATTCTGATTACATGGAAGTTTGCAAATTTATCTAACAATCTAAAAAAACAAAGAGAATATGACCTCTGAGAGTCCTTTGCATATCCTTTGCAAGGCCTGTGTCAGATTTTGCAAGAACATTTCGCAATTACCACTTACGCAAACAGGATTCCCGGGAGTAGTATGGCGACTCGCAGGAGCAGAAATCCTCCACACAGAGCGCCCTCACCTGAAACCCACCAACATGTGCACAAGAGCCCTGCCGGCATGGGATGCGCAGCTCCAGAGGGGGCGTGCTCCGTCTCAGGTCTACCGAGGGCTGTGTGGTGTCCAATGTGGTGGGGACGTCTCGTTGCTCAGTTGTCTGTGCTGAACGCGACAGAGACTCTGGTTTGAACCGACAAAGGGAAATTCAGTCTTTTAACTTATTCATGTACGGGTTACGTTAACCCAAGTCTCTGGACTGAACCAATAAAAAGGGGAAATTCAGTCCTTCAGTTTCTTAATACTGGTGTGACACAGCGTTACTTTGAAAACTCCTAAAAGCTAGCTTGACCAGTGATCGAGTAGAGTCCATCTAATCCGAGTCCGAGCCCAACTGAGTCTAAGAGGGTCCGAGTCAAGTCCGAGTCCACTTTTGTCCGAGTCCGGCTCAAGTCCGAGTCCACATTGTCGAGTCCGAGTTCCAATATTGCCCTCCTGGGCCCAAATCCCAGACACAACAAAGATTTTGTTTGAATTGAAGGACATCAAGGTCATTTGATGATGACACAACAACATGGTATACATCGCTGTGCCACGAGCATGATTCATTCAAAAGTTTCTGTTTCAGCCCGAAATTTAACGAGCAGGATCAGAACTTACATGTACATAAGTAACTATATCCAAGAATTTTCAGTTGCATAGGTTATCTGCCACTCCGGGACTCAAACAGACATTCTCTTGCGGGCGATGCCTGCTTTAGGAAAGAGTTTGAAATGAACCAGCAGAATAGCCATGACAAGAAGACGACGAACTGTGAGCAAGTCAATCCTTCACGAAAAATGTGTTTACGCTGCACTGCACAGGCAACTCTGTCATGTGCTTGCCATTATCCTAGACGCAAAATTATGATGGTCTTAACCAAACAATTATGGACAATAGATGCAGACAATTTTTCCAATGAAATTTCTGAATTTTATGAAAAGTTTTTGAATGGAGTTGATTCGAGTCCAGTAAGTAGTCCGAGTCAGCCACTAGCCAAATCAAAAATGACCCGAGTCCAAGCCAAGTCAAGCGTCCAAAAAAATTGGACTCGAGTCCGAGTTCGGACTCGAGACCTCCATCACTGGGCTAGACTCCTGAAAAAAAAATGCACTGCAGCGATCTCGTTAAAAATGGCTTAAAATCTTTTTTAAAAAATAGCTATTATGAATCACGAAGGAAGAGGCATTTTTTTTAGCTCAGTGATTAAGTATCAAACCTCCATAACAATACCATTGAGTTGTCTCTCCTTGATCAGGAGCTGTTCATTGAGTTGACTGATCTCCTCCTCTTGTCGCGTCAGCTGGCTGGTCAGTTCTGAAACCCTCTCCTGAAGGCCTACAAGAGAATATATGGTCATTCCTTCAGTCATGTGAAACCCGACCTTCCTACTCCAGCCAATTTGCATGGCAATGTGGAGCACAGACTCCCTTGTCCCATAAAAAGCCTGTGTCGATTCTAAGTGGCAGATCAGGCTGAAGTTTCTATTCATTAAAATGACTGAGAATAATGTCCGCTCCCCTGGGATGGGACGCCAGTTAATCACAGGATGCTCCCCAGCTGATGCTGGTACCCATGTTACACTCTTTGGGTGGAGAGTAGCAAGTACGGGTAAATTACCTTGCCCAAGAACACACAAGGCCACCAGCTGGATTTGAACCCCTGTCCCTATAACCTCAAGTTACAAACCTTAACCAGACAATCACATTTCCTTGATGCCTAAAACAGGGGCAAACACAATTGAAATATTAAAATGGGAAAACCAACCTGCACACGTGTCTGTGTCATCACCAATCAGACTATTAATCCAGTGGGTGTACCGATGAACCCTAGTGTACACCCCAGGGAATCGATGCCTTGCACAGCCAATGCCCCAGCTCACCAGCCCAATCAGAAACCAGCGTTTGTCATCCTGTAACAAGAAAACAGTTTTTTTTTTTTCGAGAAAAAGAAAAGCAAGAGCCCTGAACCTGAGACTTTTGGGACTATTTCTTCAACTGGCCGAACAAATACAAGCAGTTTAGTCTTGAGAATCGATTAAAAGTCACAAAGTCATCACAGACATAGCACTGTGGCAATTGCTGATTAGCATAAATGCTGCATTGTTACAGCCAGAGTTACGGTATCCCACAACAGCAATCCATCCTGTGTTAGGATTCCTGTTTGACTATGGGCCTGAACACATTGTTGCAGTCAAGATTAAGATCACCACATGAGAAACACAGGGCCTACAGTCTGAATTGAACTGCAAATGAACTGCAACATAAATTGTTCAGAGCAGATAGCTCTCTAAAGAATACTTGGTAACTGTGAACCCTCTGAGCTAATTTCCACCTGCTTATGTCTATGCCACTGTCCGTTAGGGTTATATTCCCACACTGACCCTCACGGCAAAAGGGCTACCACTGTCTCCAAAGCAGGAATCTCTTGCTGCTGGTCTGTCGTCTGAGACAGCACAGAACATCCGGTTGGTGATGACGTCTCGATGGCGTGCATTACAAGTCCGCTGGTCCATGACCAACAAACGCACCTGCGGCAGTGACAAGAAACCAGGCAAGCAGCTTGTGGTTACTCGAGACAGTTACAACGACTGGGACATGCTACGTGCATGCCCTGATTCTTGTACATACGGCAAATACGAATGACTGAAATCCATTTGAATGAGCAGAGGCCAAAAGTTTATTCAAGTGGGCACACAGTCCACAAAAAATAGCACAAACGTCCATGCACTCAGCACGAATGTCAGCATTTGGCCAGACAGTGAGACTGAAAAAACTACATCCCAGCACTGCCCATCCCAACCCTTAACTTGACATCACCCAGGACTGCCAGCGAGGTTTCTGGCCCACAATCCTTACCCTCCGGAGGTATCTGGTGGTGGTGGTTGTGATTTCTGCTGTGCGTCCCCAGCCAGTGATGAATCCTCTGGTTCGAGCTTGGAGCAGGTTCATAGCCCTTATCTCACTTGGCAGGCAGACTAGTCATCAGGAGAGAAACAAGACAGATCTACAGTCTGTGAAACTTAGGGACCTCCTAGACTCAATCTTGGCCTACTCGATAAATGGCAACTTGGAGCTTTTCATCAATTAGTCTGCTGTGACAAATAATCCTGTCAGTAAGCCATGTCTAAATTAGTCCTTTTCTGTCTATGGTTTCAGTGTTCAGTCCACCTTGGCAAACAGCAAAGTTTTGAGCACAACCTTACAGCCGTGGGCAAGTTTAAACTATGACCACTCATTGATGACCACTGGTAACTTTACCCTGGTAACCTGCGCAAGATTGACCAGTGATTGACAAAATCGTTGTCACACAAACATGCTAATGACTGACCAAGTTCACAAGCATGCATGTACATTATTGCAGTAGGCAATACCTTTTACTTAAGCACATTTATAAATACTTAAAGCAACTTGACTCTGTGCCAGAGTTCATCTCTGCAAAGAGCCACTTTGACTGGATTGGAGATTTATCCTCATATCAAACATGTGTACATGTAAAGACAGACAATCCATTTAAACTGTCAACTATCTTCCAGGCACAAAGCCTGTTCTACCTTCCTTGTGCAAAGATGCATAATACAGTGTCTATCACAACCAACGGGATAAAGCAATGATAAATATCACTGACTTACTAGGAACAATGAAGTCTGTATATGTGACTGGTTGTATTAGTTTCAACAGAGCAATGTCCGAGTCGTACGTATCTTTGTCAAACTCTGGATTTATGATGAGTTGTTCCACTCGAAGGATCCTCTCGGTTCCTTCCTCCTGTTGTAAGGTCAATGAGGTCATAGGTCATGGGTCAATGGGGGTCATGCAAGGGCATGTGGTTGCTTGATGTGTGCTAAAGTAAATGTAATATATTAATACTTTAGTTTCTTGTTTTAATTTGGGAAATCAAATATTCATTCCTAAAATAGAAGACCGCCCCATAAAAAATTCTGCTGTGACAAAGTGTCACTTCTTCCTTTCAGTGCACCATGGAGCTGGGTCCTGACAGTCCCGTAGCCCTCGTCACTGTCCATCTCTGATGTCATGCGGCAACTCAAACTAATACATGTATTGCTGTGTATGGCAAACCCAGTGCCAGGCACATACGAAGATGATTCTACCGGGGGGGCCCATAATGAAATCTCTTTGTGGGGAGGCCAATGCATGTGATTGTGAGCGCGTAGCGTGAAACCTGTACGGTGTGGGGTTGGCAAATATTTGTACGGTTTTGCACTTTGTGGTGCATGATACATAAGCCTCACTGAAATATCATTTGAGCAATCGGTATGTTGAAATTTCAGCCTTTTAAATCCATGTTTGACAGTTAAAAAAAGACAAGTTAATTATTGTATTAAGGTGATGTTTTGTAAACTCATTACAGGAAAAGTGTCTCACAGAAGCATTAAACACAACAAAATCAAGAACCCAACTTTTGCCAAAGGGAATGGTGGTCACAAATTAAAGTCTAAACACTCATTAGTGGGGTTTTCCTTTTAAGAAAAGAAAAAATTCTTTAATTTGTGAGCACAAACCAGCTGCGATGTTAAAGCTTTGCCTTAGATGACATCACAAACTTGATGACATGCACAAACTTTAAGTTTAAAATAGTATGCGAATATGTTTCAGTAAAACTTTTATTTACTTGAGGAAAGCCCCAAAAATGAGTGGTCATAGTGAACACAATCTTACTTGGCCTCAACTATTAAAACATTCAATGGAAGAAGCTTGTGGATATTTCAATTTTTGGATACGAAGTGATGCTTCTATCCTGTTCAGAGACGCTCTTTCTTATAGGTTAATTCTGGGACTAAACTTTGGGTGATTTAAAAAAGTTTATTCAAGGGTGTGTCACTGCGGGATTTATTTCTATGTGGAGACTGTAATGGAGCCTTAGGAGGGTAGAAATAATAGGAAGAAATTATAATAATGTAGACAAGGGGATCAGTTACATCCGAATCTTTTGTCTAGAGCTAGGTTTATGGCTTCACTCCTTTGAAAATACACTGAGACACCAAGAAAAGACCTAACCATGAGCTCTGGAAACCTGTTTCAGACATCAACACAGCCTGAAATGGGACTCCTTGCTGTTATTGGGCGCTGGAACGACAGAAACTGCAAGATCCCGATTGAAAGTGAATATTAAAATTTCCAATTTCCCATGTGATCTAAGTAAACTTATCACACACTGCTACAAATACTATTCACTTTAAATCTTCCCCTCTGAGAATGCCCGCCCCCCCACTATATTTTCAGGGGGAAGGCCACTGGCCACTGGTATATCACCAACTTAATGCCGTCAAAATACCTTGAAAATTTGTTCAAACATCTTGATTAGGGTGATCAAAAACTCTAGAGAACTTTGACAAATGTACATAGCTTGGAAGAGAAAGACAAGAGATGCCACCAAATCAAATGTACCTTGAAGAGGTCATACTCCCCAAGTCGGACCTCCATGTGATCCTTGATGTCGTACTTGAACCGGACAAAGCAGTGGGCGGCCGTCACGACCCAGCGCTGGTTGAGCAGCACCCCCCCGCAGAAGTGCATATTCTCCCGTGTGTTCCACAGCAGCGCCATCCAGGGTGCCTGGCCCTCCTCTGTCACTTTGCCTCCGATGATCTTACCCCGGATACGTGGAACACCGCATTCAACAGGATCTGTGGAGAGTGTGAATACCAGATGGAAGGTGACAAGTGAAAATTTGCGACTCCCAATACTATTATGAGAAAACATCACAAAATAAAATGGTGAAAATGTGCAAAAAAGGAAATAGGAATGCCATGTTCAACATCAATCTTTACTTTTACAAACTACAGGTAATTGTCTCTAAAAGCCAAAATTGGTCAACATTTCACATTTTCAAGCAAAATCCTCCCTAAAATGACCTCTCAATCCTCCTGTGGTGAAACAAGAACCTCCGTGGAGCAGCAAAGGTAATTTTGGACTGACACACACCTTGTCCATACAATGAGTGACACAAAAATGTAGGGAACTTGTATCATAAAGGAAATGAAGTAACTGCCTCTGAAACCAGACCAAAACCCTCCAGGACTGCATTGATCCATTGAGTCTGGCCAAAATCTGACCACTTGTCTGTGTTTCTATGCATCCTATCCACTGTCCTGCCTCCTAACTACTGAATGGTCAATCTTTTCACACAACTGTACATGAGCCAATCCATTATTGGCCTCCAGTTAAAATCACCTGGCTTCTCCTTAAGTTGCACAATATTTAAGAGTGGTCTCCTCCAACAAACTGAGTTGAGATCTCAAATTTGGCAAGTGAAATGTTCAGGACCTCACCTTTGCCACATAAAAACATTTTTCTGATTTTTTAAAACTGGAATGCACTCCTTATCAGTACAAATGTGAAATGTCAACACAATCTGCCATAGAGTTTTGTTGTTAGGGTCATTTAAGTTGAAGGCCACAAGGGTACCAGCCTGCTTACATTGAGCACAGCAGTGGAAAAGTAAAACCTTATTGGCTGACCTGTCTCAGAGAAATGGGCCATGCTTGAGAACAGTAGGTTCAATTTTCACAAAGATGGCATCAAAATGACTGCAAAGAATTACTGAAAAACTACAAAGGCTTAGTTTGCGAATAAAAAGCACTGCAGCGATATAAGAAAAAATGTTAAAGGATGGATTTATCCCCCCCCCGGCTCTTTTAGGGTTAAAGGGGTTAACAGGAATTCTGCACCTAAAGGACAATTAAATTCCATAACCATATTATGAAAATCCATGACCCGATAATGCAAATTCTTGGACTATTCAGACTTTTAAAGTTGCGAATAAAATCACGCATTTAATGCACATATTTCTGATAACAGAAATCACAGTGTTGGAAAAATTTCATGACCTTTCCAAGTCTGAAATCAGTATCCTTTGTACTTTGCATAAAAAGAGAAAAACAGACAAGTTTGAAATAACCCGAACAAACCAAGACTCACAGCTACGAAGCGGACGATTCTCGTCACTAGAGGGCACTACATCCAGGAAGATCATCACCTGGATCATGTGATGATGCCTGATGGCAAGACACATGTAATGACCCCTGTCGCCATACTGGGCATTAAGGACCAAAAGCCCCTCCCCCTTAATGATGTATACACGCCCCTCGTGGTAGGCATTTGACACTTCAATGGCGTTATTGTCCTTCTGCCAATCCAAGTAAGTAGGACTCACAATGCTACATTCCAAAAAGACATCTGTATCAGTAGACACAGTTATGTTCTTATCGTAGATCTCCTCATAAATTTCTGTGAAGAAAACACCAGAACAAAAACCAAAACTATGTAAAAATAAAAAAGAACGCAGACACCACTTCACAGGTCTCATAACACTATTTTAGGAGGCTGCAAACTTCAATGAACAATTATTGTAAATTAACTTCCTTGTTTTATATGCCGGATAAGCATGTAAAAGGATTAAAATTTACCAGCCAATACTAAACAGGAAAATGAAGTAAAGGGGATTTTTTTCAGCAGAATAAAACAAATTATAAAATGTTAGGAAAGCATTTCAAGAACAGATTCTTCTGAACTGGACTTATTTTGCAATTTTTAAACTTCCAATTTCTTCCACTCACCAATTCAACGGGTAAATCGGAGGGTTTTTATTCCTCCGTGCCCTGACTGAGGTTACAGGTTCAGTACATGGCAAAGCGTCATTGGGGGAATACTGCACTCTGTGGATGCAGTTCAGTGCTCAGCAGCAAAACTGAACCCTAGCACTTCTACCCTTGGCCTTTCACTCAGTTTCATGGAATTGATTTGTGAGCTCATAAAGAGGTTGGCAAGGTCACATACAGCGATTACGGCGGCAAGACTACTGTTTGACTCGGGAAAGAACCTTCGCAGCACGACCGAAATTTGTTGAAAACACAACATTCCATATAAGAACGTACAGCTTACAATTAGTTCTGACCTCCTTGTCGAATTCAGTGCTACCTAGGTCAGTTAATATCAATTATAATACATGGAAAAAAGTTTGTTTACATTACTTTTGGACCAACCTGAAACTTTTGTTTGGCCTAGGGCATTGAATGCAAATCAGTGTTGCAAAAAGCCTGATGTGTTGGAGCTGGTTTGTCGATCTAAAGCGGCAAGTAACTGCACTGTAACGACTGACCTTCTGTTTGGTGCTGAGCTTGTATTTGCTCATCCTGTTGTGAAAAACTAACTCTGCAGAGAGAAAGCGCCAGAATGACGATGACGAACTCCCGCGGTACCCATAGCTTCGATTCGATTCTACGCGCCATCTGTTGCACTTTACTTGAGTCACTTCAATACCCAAGATGACAGCTGATGAGCTTGAATGCTCAACTACCGTCGACAGCACGCGTGCAACAGGTGTGCAACCCCGGCCCCGTATGCAGCATGTTATCGTTGCGGTTTATGGCAAAACCAGAAGGTGGCGCACTTCAACCTTCACCCCTCGGTGGATGGGATCGTCAGCACGCTTCCCCTCCCCAGCGGTACGGTTGGGGGTGTATTAGCCACGGAGATGAACACAAATTAACAGGAACAGGGTTGATCATTAGCTCTACAGGCTGATCTACTCGAAATTAGTACCATTCGTGAAGTCAATCACGCGTACTTATAAATCATTTCCCACTTTCCAACTTTTATTTCAGGGGTTTCGAGTTCGATTTCGGTGCAAGGTTTCCTGTTCAAATGCGTGAAAGACAAACATTTCATTTTAATTTCTGCAGAAATTGAAATCGTCACATTAAGCAGCTTTACAATTAAATCTGAATTCAAAATGTTAAATTCCAACTTCTTGTAAATGTCATGTTTAAGGCTCAAAAGGTGAAATGTACTGTCTCAGGGACATTTTGTATTTAACTTGAACACTGTATTCAATGGAGGTGAAACAGAACAAGGGCCCGATACATTTTGAAGTAAACTATACTCATGCATCGGAATAACCTTTTTCCCATTAAATGAGAATTATTAAGTAATGGCCAGGTTTGCAAGAGGGCCACTGGAGTAGTTTGACCTCAGGCTTGCACCATGAATAAATCCTGAAGTAACCTATTCATAAAGCTATCAACAAAACTTGTCCTAAGGAACAGCATGATCTTCACACTTTTCTCATTAGGTGATCTTTTTTTAAAAACCACTCACAAAGCGGATGTAAATCTGACATGAGAATGCCAGTAGTGTACAAAACTGTACATTTACTACAAACTGGAACTTTTCTTTACAATAAAAACATTAACATTTCTACGCAGTACAAATTTATGATCTCTTCTCGGTGTCAACTTGTCTTGCACAGGAATGCCAGTATTATTTTTTAGACTAGAACAACTATTTCATAGAAGCCGCCCCTCCGCAAATATCCTACATCACAGTTGTAACGAGTCACAAATTCTTGTCATTCAACACAAATAGAGTTAGTAGGCAAAAAAGTCGAGTCAGAGTATTTAGTTCAAGTCAATTTGAGTCACAAATATTTGAGCATGGTACAATGAATAAAACAAGAGTTACTTTTCGGCATTTTAAAATTTACTTCTAGGTTTACAGCATGAGGTCATACCACATCCTACTCTTGATGACTCATGAAAGTACTTATCTGGTATTGTGAGTCATTGTGAAGAATTGTTTGCAGAGAAGTTTGCTTTTATTTAGGGACTCGAGTCACATTAACTTTCACTCGAGTCAGGTCTTCTGATGAGGGACTCGAGTCACATTAACTTTCACTCGAGTCAGGTCTTCTGATGAGGGACCTCAAGTTGAATAATTTGCTTGCAGTGACTCAAGTCGTTATTTGTCAGGACTCCAGTTGAGTTTCTAAAACTTGTGACTCAAGTTGCACTCAAGTCGAGACATTAACTCAAGTCATTTACAACTATGCCAAATAAACAATTCATTTCAGTAATCAATCTCTAACAAGCTGAACAGCAGAGTTAGTATGATGTGGGCCTGCGTTCCATTCCGGCACTCACCCAACTATTAACCAAGACAAGAACTTCGGACATGCCACTTGCTTTAGTCCAACGACCCGCATCATGCGTGTTCACCACAAGTCCTTTCACAAGACCAGTCACAAGTAATGGGTGGACGGTCACAAAGGCATAATTTTTGTAACAGTTCATTTGGGAGGTTTGTGACTTAAAACTGGATGACTTGTGATGGACTCAACCACAACACTAGCACATGGTGAAAAAAGAGAGCTAAAATCTGCCTCAAAATTGGGAACATTTGTAATAAAAATCTTAGATCAGTCTAAGCGGTCTGAGGAGAAGAGACACAATCACAACCACTTTCCGTTTTGAAGTAAATTTGTCAAATCGCATATCTCCGAACTTTTAAATGAGATAGACGTATCAGTTTCAATGACTTTGTTCTCATAAATCCCTTTCCTAGCGCCATCCTAATGGCTATTTCTAAGATCCTCTGATTATGACTACAATGACCATTTCAATTCCTGAGCACAGGTATCATAAATTCATACGTTTTCAACCCAAAAGTACTGTTAAAATGCTGTTTACTTTTCATCTCTCTTAACAAATGATAGCCCAAAATACATCGTCCACATCTTCAATGGGCTTCACAATAATGAAACTTTCCTGTCAAATCTGTACTAACTGCAACTGAATCAGATATTAAAATTCATACAGCTAAGATTTAGTGAACAAAGTGTACTGTCACAATTGTAATTTATTTCCAAAGTCGTTTATTTTTAAAAAATAAAATTGCCTTGAAATACTGACAGTACAATTCCAATATTTTTAAATTCCCTATTTTGATGTTTGTAGATAGACTGCTCGACATTTAAGGAACCAAATTAAGGAATAATCGAACAAAACCTAAATGTAAAAAATGATGAAACAAAAAATTTAAGAGAATTTTTTGGCGTTTCATTTTGCATTTCATTTTAATACTTGCATAATTTTCAGTCCAGGATTCATACCTTCTGCAGCAAGAAGTTGTAAAAAAGAAAAAAAAAGCTTTGAAACACTGAAGCTCACTTTACATAAAGAACCACATTAATCAAGAAATTTTAAGTCTGGGCCCTGTATGTTTCTTTTCCCCTGCGGCGTGCTATTCACCACCTTGACCCTTGACCTCATCATTTCAAATCGGAATGTCCATTTCTCTCTCGATACCGACATACTTCAAGGCATCCGTGGCACTGTACCTGTGGAGGGAAATTCAATACAAATCACACTCAGTTCAAGTGCCATTCAATTCAAGGATAAAGAATTCCAGCAAGTACATTTTCCACTCGGGCTTACCTGTAGTCAAAGAACAATTCTTCACCGGTTTGAATGGGTCTCTTGGCAAAGATTCCAATACGATGATCTCCGTTCACCATCATGACTGCAAGTGAAGAAATTCAAACAGCTATAAATAAACCTCCTTCACATACTTAGCAGTCAGATCATTACTTCCAGCTCCGTAATTAAGTCCGAAATTTAGTTTACAGTTCAAGGCAAGTTTTTGCCATAATGAAATTTGGCTGAAGTCAACCCTATTTTAACCACTTCCTACCAGGACTCCGGAATCGGAGGTGTATGGTTTATATGTGTGGCCGGGGTCTCCAAACTCGGACAAAGGAAACAGGGCCCTGTAACAAAAGACCATACTCCGAACAAAAAACCAGACTGCTGGGCATTACCGACATTTTTCACTCTCAAAAGTGGTGATAATCCAGCATTGTTTTGAAACCGTATACCAGGGTTTGGGGCATTGAGAGCAAGTGGATTACCACCGGGGACAAAAGCGCTCCACCACCGCAACGATGAGCCACACAGCACCGCTGCACGCTAATCTGGCCCCTATTGAAAAGAGGTTAGCAGTGCACTGAGCCAGGTTTGTGAACAAAAGACAGTTGTACAACACCGCACAATCTGAGCTCTGTTTACAAGGCTGCTGGCCTGGCTGAAATACTCGGGCGTCAATGAAGGTCACCTGTCAACTTGGAGTAGTTCCTAAAGACTACTTCGTGCGGCTATAAACGACCATTAAATGAAATGATGAATTTTCAAAGGATTTTGAAAACGGAAAAAATGATAGTCATGCCAGCCCAGCATCATCAACATTAAAAATGCCCCGGCATGAAATGGTTAAGTACTCTTACACGGATGCTGCATACTACATATGTGTAAACTAAGCGCATCAAACAACAAGTTTTGAAGAATCATGGTGCACAATTTGGATCATTTTTATAAATTTTAAACGGTTGAATGGGATGATCTCAGACTATTTCCTGACTGGTGTGCTTTCTACGCCTCCCTGTCAGTATTTCTCAAAAACAGGCTTAAAACATAAGGTATTACATGCATGTTAAATCATAGATTTGAAGTTATTCAGGGCAGTAATTTGTAATAAAGTTTCATTTCAAAACTTTCATATCCACTCTCAATCTCCAACATGAAGAGGTAACCTTGCTTTTTAAATTTGGTCAACTTAAGAGTTAAGTCTACTACGTGGATACGGCTTGAAATAACACATGTATTCATGGGAAATGCACGAAGCCGCTATAAGTGGCTTACATTGGCCAGTGTGTTAATTCAAGCCATAGCCAAGTAATTTGGACATGGCTTCACCTTCCATACGACTAAATCCCATGTGTTATTACCTTTGGCATAGCAATTTGGATTGTTAGAGTGGTTGGCAAAGCGTATCTTGTTCCCTTTGCGTGTAGCATCAACAACAAAATCTGCAACAAAAAACAAAGGTACTGAAGTAATTACCAGGAAAAGAACAACATGGCCTCATTTTCCACAAGAATTGTCTTTATTTGTCGTTGACTATGCAGTCATCCAAATAGTTACACCGTGACGCTATTTTGAAAAGAAGAGTGAGTTTTTCAGAAAAGCAAACATGAGGAACTAGATCCCAAGAAATCTTACCATTGTTCAGGTTGAACAGGAAGCTACACATGTATTTGTCGTAGACTTTGCCACGTCGGTCTGCCTCATCCTGGGAAATGATCTACAAGTAGAAAAAACGGACAAAACTGGCGATTCGCACTTCAGGCTATCGACAGTTTATAACCCCAACCCTCCAAAGCCCTTCGATATTCACTAAGGAGGTTTGACAAGTCCTACAGGATACTCTCTTAGTTTCCTCCGCACAAGTGAACTTGACAAGTTTGGGAAATTTTCCAACAAAGACCTTTTATTTCTTGATACTTGTTCATCATCTATAAGTCTCCTACAGCTTGCAATGTATTCAGTCTTTCTGGAGTTGAACTCTGACCTGCAAAGCTTTGATTTTCTCTGAACAGGTTACAGTTTGTCACCACATGATAACGAACCTCTCCACAGTACTCTGAAATGAACTCATTCTTCTGAGCCGACTGCTTGATGAAGATGCCCCACCCGGCGACATCAGATGGAGCTAGCAGGAGGTGCTATTCAAGGAGAAACAAAGAAGGAAAACTTTCAAACAAACTGTGCAAAATCATCAGAAGAAGGTTCCCTCTTTTTACTAAAACCCACTGCCACGGGAAATCAAATGGTGTGAGGAAAACCAGTTTCTCCCAATTAACCCGACCTTTCCCAAACCTCCAAAATCCTTGTTGTATAAGTGGTGGATTTCGAAGGGGCGAGGGTGTATGGAAAAAGCTGGTAGCTGTTTTCGAAGGATGCTTTGTGTCAAGTCTTATGCAGTGAAGCTTGAGCATAGGGCTAGATTCTACTGGAAATGACCGGCACAGTTCCTGATGTTTTTTACACTGCCTTTCCATACTGATTAGCTGCCAACAAATTCTAAAGGATTTGAGTAATGGGCAAACTCCAAGGAGCACATTGAAGGAATAATAGAGGAAATTGGAGGATTGAGGATGGATCCAATTTTTACATCCATGGAGGCAGTCAGACGATTTTGTGGGATAAAGGTTGCATCCTGGCAAAAAGCCTTAGGAAGTAAGGTTGACAGGTTATTAGCTTTCCCTTTTTACAACAAAAAGCACTTCAATAATTAGAGACAAGCACTCAACAACTGGAAACAGCAATATGATCATAAAAACGTCAACAGAAGTTTTTTAAAAAACTCCCTCTTTAAATTAAAAAACCCTCACTTGAAGCATCCGGCATTTTTCATAACTGATGATGGGAACATAAATTTGATAAGCACAAGAAATATCGGCTTTAAGCGAAAAGAAAATATGTCAGATAAAATAGGTTTCCACGGTGCTTAAATTTGCCAGGGAATATTTACTGCTGTACTGCTGATGTACAGGACCCTTTTGGGCTGATGGGGGATTGGCATGTTCTGACGGACGGCAATTTAACGTTATGATCTTACCTTCTTCCAGCCTCGTTGGATGCTGACATTTTTGCAGGAAATGCTGTCACTGTCGGCCTTCTCAAAAAAGTTGCCTGAATCAGTGAAGGAAAAGACACAACAGCAGCAAAAATAAGACATTCTTTTGCGAGTTGTTCTGCATTTCCACAAAGGGTCAGTTGAACAGTATAATCTTGGGGAATGATTTGGAATTGTTCTTTGAAAAATCTTGGGAAAACTGACGTGTGAAGTTTTCATGTGAAATGATGATTAATGCAGTAAAGTGGAATGCCACAATAATGAACACGACAGGGTCCACGCTAAATGTTCGGCACAGGGGTCATTCGGTAAAGCGAAATTATCTGCCGAACGCTTCGTTGCCATGTTGAGTAGCGCCCTCTCTTGTCTAACTGAAGTGCACCCTCTTGTAATACTATGATTTGCTGTTTTTGTGATGTTTTGCTGTTGCATTCATGTTTGATGTTTCTAGAAATGTATCTGTTAATTATTTTTGTTTTTTATTAAATCTTCAGTTACAAAATTGAAATCTAGTTTATCCTAAAAGTCATGAAGCTACTGCCCAGGATC